TTTCTACAGTTTAGGTAGGCTTTTTTTTAAAGCTGTTTTTTCCGCTTCTTTATTACTAGTAGTCTGTTACCTTTTCTAGAAGCTCTAATCTTCTTTTAGAAGTTACTATATGTGTGTTTTACATAACTAAGATTTATTAGCTTTTTATTATAATAGAGAGCTTCTTTCTTTTTAGGTACTAGCTTAGGCTTCTAAGTTATCTTATCTTATTTCTTTTTTTTATTTATGTTTTTTGTATTAGTTATTATCTGTTGTTGCTTTTTTAATGTATCTTTTTAAAGTATTTAGCTTTCTATTGTGCATAAATTTATCTTTAATTATGTTATAAAGTCCTTTATAGAACATTCTGCAGAGGGCTTTTTAGTCTATCTACCTACAAATAGCTAGCTGCTTGCGGAAGCGTACTGCGTAATGTTACACTATCTCTTTTTTTTATTATAAAGTGTTTATTTTATCTGCTGCAAATCTTTCTTTATCTATTAGTTTATAATTTATAGTAAGGGCTTCTTTAAAAAAGTTAATACTACTAAACACTTTTTTAGTCTTAGGCAAAAGTGTATAGCTATTTGCTTCAAAGTTTATCTAGTTGTTGGTGTAGAGTTAGAACTAAACAGTAAGTAGTCTATTAAAGTAAAGTTCTATCTATAATATTATTTCTTTATATAATTAAAATAGTCCTTAATTATACTATGTATATAAGTAGCACTATGTAAAGAAAGGCTTTAGATCTTTTAAGCTTTTAGTAAAAAGTTTAAGTAAAGCTAACTTTAATATTTTCTTAGCAGCTATACTTATTTTTTCTTAAGAAAAGTTTTAAAGGTTTATAACTTCTATTTATAGAGCTTAAATCTATGAATTTAAAGCTTACAGTCTTTAAGTTTACGCTGCTTACACTAAGTTTTATTTTAAAGTAATTATTTCTTATCTTATTACCTTTAGTTTTTAAAGCTTATTCTACATAGCATTTAATTACTTTATTAGAGCTTTTTTATTTCGTGTAAGGTTCTTACTTAATCTAGAGAGAGCTAAGCTAATTATCCCTACATTAAAAGTAGTTTGTCTAGGATTTATACTTTATTAAAGAGGTAGTAATTAATGTTATAATCCTTACTTAATAGAGTCCCTTTATTAGAATGCCACAAGCACGCAGGCTAGAGAAGGGAATTAGAGGTAAGAAGAGGAAAGTACCTTAAATGCGCAGTTCTTAGTGTAGCTTAGGTATAGTTAGAATAGTAGAGTTAGCTATATTATAGTTTAACCTTAGATAGCAGTATAAGGCGCTTAGTTAAACAGTTTGTAGGAATAGAAATAGAGGTATATATAGTGCAAGATATACAACTAGTATTACAGCTTGTTAAAAAGCTAGAATGCTACTTAGTTTATAAAGATAAACTAAACTTTAATTACACCTTTTAAAAGTTAATTAATAAAGGCCTTATATACCTTTTACTATAGTGTAGTAATTGCAGCCTTAGCTTACTAATCCTAGCAATTTCCGCAATCTATTGTGTAGTAATTGCAGCCTTAGCTTGCTAATCCTTGCAATTACTGCAATTACTAGCGGGGCCTCCCTATTAGACGACGTATTCGTCCATGGCCTGTTCTAGATACTCAGGGCCCGCCGACGTAGCGGGGTCCTCCGGCTCTTCCCATTCAAGCATAAAGGGGTTCCATGCTTGATCGTCTAAACAGTGGGGCATGTTGTTAGGGTTCCGCCTAGTCCACTCGTGGACCGTAACACTTGTAAGCCCTTAGGCCTAGTAGCAACATAGTGTAGAACATAAAGTCCTTTTATTATTAAAGTCTACTCTAGGTAAAGGATAACAGGCTTAAAATCTAAAAATATTTTTTAAAAGTGTGTTAAAATATTTTTAAAGCTTTTATAGCTTCCTAAAGCTATAGCTTATTATATAGTAGCTAGTATTTATAATAAAGGCTACTACTAGGCTACACTACTTATAGGCGTTGCCTAGGTACTTTTTAACAACAGCAATAGGTATCTAAGCACTTATAATGCTAATAACACTCTAGACTCTAAAAAACTTACGCATATTTCCTTTAAGTTTTACTATTAGTAGTATACTTTTAGCAAACATTATATAAATATTTTTAGGCTAAATAGTAAGCATAATTATGCTATAAAAATTAAAAAATTTTAAACTTTTTAATCTATAACCTCTTTTACTATAAACTAGATATCCTGCAGGAATACCTTAATGTAGCCTAGAAGAAGAGTTAGATACGCCTAAGCAGGTTGTTTAAAAGTACTCTTATTCTTTTTATTTTAAAACTAGATAGAATACTATAACTCTATATTAACTATTAAGGTCTTAATAAAATTATAATTAAAAACTAATACTTTATTTTACTTATAAGTAAAATATTAGATTACTTATTAAAGGCTAAAATCTTTATAAAGCTTAACCTTTATAACACCTACTATAGGCTTTACATTAAGAAAGAAGATAAGTAGAAAACTACTTTTAAGATGTAGTATAAGCATTTTAAGTACATTATTATGCCTTTTAGCTTAGCTAATGCCTTAGCTACCTTTTAGTCTTATTAGATAGAACCTATGTTATCTACTTAAATAACGTCTTTATTTACTTTAAAGATAAAAAGAACTATAAGTAATATATTTTTAAAGTTTTTAATTAACTAGTAAAATAAAAATTATACTATAAAGTATTTAAATTTTTTTTAGAATAAAGGCTATAAAGTTCCTAAGCTTTATAGTTACACTAGAAGGTGTAGTAATAAACTTAGTGTGTGTTTAGATAATTAAGAAATAGCCTAAGCTAAAAAGCTTTAAAGATATCTAAGTATTTTTAAGCTTTATAAACTTTTATTAAAAATTTGTTTATAATTACTTGAAAATTATATACTTACTAGTAGACTATATAATAACTGCTTAAGCTCTAAGTCTACCTAATAAAGGCCCTAACTTAAAAAGGAAGAAGAAGAAGGTAAAGTAGAATTATAAGAGTTTTATAAAGTAGTACTAGAAATAGTTCTAGCCTAAAAAAAGCTATAACACTTTTCTAACTTTTTAGTTAAAATTTATAAATGCTTTAGTTCTTCAGCACTTTAATTTATTTAAAGCTAGTAATAATTATTATAAACACTTGTAAGTTTACTATAGTAGTAATACTTTTCTAGCCTTAGTTTTTTAAGCTAGTAGTAAATTACTACTAAAGGCTTATAGCCTTCTAAAGCTGTAAGTTTAGCAGTCTATAACTCTGTTAGCATACACATAATAAGAAGTTATATATAATTATAAAGAGCTTTAAATATTAAAGGCACTATTTAAAGTACACTCTAAGTGTAATCTAGGTGTTCTCTAATTATAATAATTTTCACTATTTTATAATAATAAAAAAGCTCTTCTCTAAGTAAGCTTACTAAATAGAAGAACTAGTGTAGTTTAATTTTAAAACTAAATACAAGCTAAGTTTAAAAGACCTAGCTAGTAGCCTATTTAAAAGACCTAATTATATAAAAAAAGTCTTTTTAAAAGAAGTAAAATTACTATAAAATATAATGCTTTTAACTTTATAGTAAAGGCTTTAGGCGTAGATAATTTAAACATCTATAGCTTATTACGCTAGTTAGGCAGTGTATAGTATAACATTACCTAACAGCAACCTAGCAGGGCGCTGTACTATACCTAGGGAAGATCTAAATCTACCTAACATAACATTAGTTATTAAAGGTGCGCCTTTATTAACTTAACTTATTATTTCTACAAACTATAGTAGTTATAGAGTAGTTAATTCTAAAGTGCTGCAGGTTCTTTATAGAGAACTTATAATATAATAATAAACTTAGGATGTTATAAAAGAGTTTCTTTATTACTTTTATATTTATAAAATGTTATTCTTAAACTATTTTACTATTATAGCTATATAAAATAAAAATACTTATGCTTTAAAAGTCTTAGAACATTTCTTTAAGTATATTAAGTAAGTATAAGAAAATAATGTAGCTTAATAGTTAAATGCACTCTTAATAAAAAAAAAGTAAGTAAAGTAAAAAAAAGCACCCTATTTTAGAAGCATAACCCTATAGATGTTCTATGTAGGAATAGAGGAGTGTAGTTCTTAGATAATAAAACCTTATGTTAAAATATTTTAACAAAGAGCTACTATAATAACTATATAAAAAGGCATTATAGTGTTAAAAAGACTATAGACTTTTTTTAAAAAAATACTTCTAGCTATACCTTTACTATAATGTTTATAAGTATATTATAAGGTGTATACTATGTGCTGCACTATTCACTCATTAGGCATAGCTCCTCTCTCGTATAGTATATAGTCAGCCCAGAGCTCTATCGAGCTCTTAAGACTTTACAATACACTTGAACAGTCCACTTTGTTTAGATCTCACTACCTTGTCGACTCGCTTCCCATATGACCCCTTCTCAGCTCATGCAAGAAACCGCAGTACACAGCAGTTGTGTTGCAGGTGGCGCTAGCTATCTTGCTGACAACGCTACCCCTAAGCTAGGTTTTGGGTATAAAACCTGGTTCAATAGTAAGGATACAGTTTTCTTCACTAAACTCAACACTATTTCTACTTCCCCCTCGCTAGCCTTCAGGACTAGCATGCTTAATCATTGCCTTCTCTTTAAGCTTAGCCGCCTTCTTTGAATTAGCGTTGCAGTTATGTCATACAGCGCTCCCAGCGTGTCTTCAGTGGAGGGTCGTTCAACTAGCATTGTAGAGGGCTGAAGCGCGTCGCTTGGTTATTAACGCGTCGTTCGAAGAACTCGGACAGCTAAGATAACCCTAGCACGGTTCGAAGACGATTGGATACGGGATTGTTGATGCGTTATGGGTAATGGGATGGTCCATGCGCTTGTCCATCTGCGTATGTGGTCCGCTCGCTTGTGGTGTAAAATATTTTCGAGACTAGTACTACTTTCGGGGTAGTTTTTATTAACTAGCTAAGCCAGCTGAGATAAGCTCACCTCTGACAACCGCACACCGCCTCTTCAGCGGACTTCGACACCGCACCCGCTCAACTCACACAACACAACAAACCGAATTATGCCAGCCCCTAGTGATATTCTTTCTGATGTGGACATCGCTCAGGCGTACGAAGATGTCAGATCCGACAAGTCAGAGACGACATGGCTGGTGTTGAAGTACGCATCGGGAACACCGGACTCGCTGAAGCTGGACAAAACTGGCACGGGGGATATCGCAGAAATGTGCGAATGTCTGGGGGATGATGAGGCAGCATATGGATATGTACGGGTGACGCTGGGAAACGACGAATACAGCGAGCGCACGAAATTCGCCTTTGTAGTCTGGGCTGGTAAGTCAGTTTACCCAGGGCCCTCGGACCACAATGAACTCTAGTAGGGGAAATGTAGGGTTTGTTGACGATATGTATTTTTCAGGCCCGAATACGAAAATCATGCGCAAGGCTAAAATGAGCTTCCAATCCGGTCAGGTTAAGCAGGTTCTTAGAAGTTATGCCGTCGAAATCCAAACCGATGATAAGAAAGATCTTGAGCAAGAGGTAGTGGTCATGAAGTTGAGAAAGGCGATGGGCGCTAATTGTAAGTTGTCCATAATATAACCGAAAGGGCTTACTTCATGGAAATAGATGATCGTCAAAAATCAACGTACTGAACACGGACGGAGATCATACCTAGAGACGAGAAAGAAGGAAAGTAGTCTAGTATCTTAGCACTCCTCTGTATTAGCCACGAGAAGCTGATAAGTAGACATAAACTAGACAACAACTAAACTTGTGTGCGTTCAGACCCAGGGCCTAGTATTACTCTCACACAAGATTACGTATCGTGCTGCAGTCGAATACTCTTAATGCAACTAAAAGAATTATGGTCAAATTCAGGCTACTCACTGTAGGGCCACTTCATTGAAATTGTTTCCCTAACTAGCAGACCCCGCTTTCACTAACTACGATTAACACTGTTTGCCACCTGGAACCGCTATTGCCTAACTAGGAAGGATTAGATAGCTAAGGCGAAGTTCGCATACAGAATGTGGCCTTAATACCATTAAGTTACAGAACTAAGAGCCTGAATAGTGCAGCTAGAAGCGCCGGCCATTGTACAACAGAACTAGCCTAGCTAGAATATAGCACCCCCACAGGCTACTCGATCCACTAGAAGCTAATCGCAAGCCGGATGAGAACAGAAGAGGACCAACACCGGAACCATAGTTAACCTAAGGGATTAGGAGAACCAATTGACACAAGCTACTAGTAGCTAGAGGCCATAGAGGAATATTATACTCACTAGGAGGGCGATAGAAGTGATGAGTAACAACACACAGCTGACAAAAGAGAACAACCAAGAGATGGGCATTGACTTAGATACTAAGGCATGAATTAGAACACTACATGAACTACCCTACAGTACAGCGTTCGCAAGTTAAGAGACGCAGTAATAGCAATTCTGCTTCGGCATCCCCGCGTTCACGAGTACGATATTCTAGCTATCTTAGAGCCATAGTGGAACCCGTTCGTGACCGCCACCCACCATCCGGCGAGAGATATCTTCCATCTCTGGTTCCTAGCAAGGGATTATGAAGGCCTAGCTATAGTCTGCTCCTTTGCGAAGAAGAGGCTAGACCATACAAAGTGGGGTTTTAAGGAATACACAAGGGGACATACTTCAAATAGAGAAACTGCACTACGAGACATACAAATTGCCCTTAATACGCACTAAGAAAACAAGCAGATACTACTTGGTGATTTTAACCCGCATACCCCTTTAGCGAAGATTAGGTGTTAGGCGCATACATTGAGAATCTAAAGACCTACTAGCAATTATTAAAGCCCATAAGCTTAACAATACACTAACTCCTAGCCTAATCACGTTTAAGGAAGAGCCTAGTGATCAACTATTAATTTGTGCATGGTGACTATAGGACTCGTAGACAGTGATTAGGAACGAAATAGAGTGGGAGCTTGACCGCGACTCACAGCGTTTCCATCAGGAAGTAGTACGATTTGACTCAGGCTTTCTAGACAAGTTACGTCTTACTTATTATATACTTTTGTTTGCTGTACTTAACAGTAGAGGTTAATATAATTAAGTTACAGTTTAATTAAAGCTACTTATACTTTTTAACTTTTTACTAAAAGTTACAACGTAACTGTTAAAGCTTTTAGAGTAGTAAAGTCTCTCTTACTTTTAATATAGCATGTAAGGTTATTTAATTTACTAAAAAATAACTTTATAACATAGCTAGTTCTTCTAGAGTTGTAAAGCTTTAATTATAAAGCCTAAAAGATAATTACAGTTACAAGTAACTGTTCTTTTTCCTCTACTAAAAGCTTTCTTGCAGTTGCAGCTTATAGAGGGTATACATAGGAAATTAAGTGCTATCTTAAAGAGTACAGGATAGTTGCGCTAACTAACCTAGAGCTACTAATCTAAAGATTTCTTATACAAGGGACTATTATCTTTTGCTATAATAAAGTTGTCTAAAAAGTTATTATAGTAAGAAGCAAGCTTTAAAGTTTTCTTAGCATTTATATACTTTTAAAAGACTTTCAGCATTAAAGCTTTTATCTTTTTATGCTATAAGCTATAATGCCTCTAATAGTTTTTAAACTAATAAAGACAAAGTTTTAAGTAAAAAATAGTTATAACTATATAGTAAAAGACTAGGGGATCTATAATAAACTTCTTTTAGTATATAAGTAGCTTTTCTAGTCTATATAAAACACTACTTTTAAAGTAGCTATTAGCCTTAGGCTCTAGTGTTGCCTTTATCTACAATAGCTTAGTGTAGAGTAATTACATATTAATAATAAACATCTATAGTAAACCTTACTTTATATTTCTTTTTAGTCTTTTTATTATCTAATAAAAGACTTTAAAAAACTTTATAAAACACTTAGTTTACTTTTACTCTTTTTTAGTAATTGTATCTAATAGAGCTATGTTGCTAGGTATGTAGACATTATTCTTATTATCCTTAGTGCATTACTACTTATAAATAAACTTTATAATAGCATCCGTAAGCTCTAAATAATAAAAGACTATAAAATAAACAGAATGCTAGTAGACATTTCTATCTTAAACTAAGTTAAGAGTGCTAAAGCTTTAAACAGGGTCTTTATTAAATATAGATTATTAAACTACTTTAAAGGCTTTATAGCACTTATAAAAGAAAAGAATTATATTAATAAAATTATAAAGTTTTCTTATAACTTTATGCTTTTAGTATAAGTTAAACAAACTACTTTTAAAAAGTAGCCTAGGCTAAGACAGATTTAAATTAGCTTAATCCTTTACTATAGATAACAGGTTTTACTACTAATTATATAGTATAACTAGCGCAGCGCAGGCAGTGTTGCCTATTAAGGTCTATGCTAAGATGTTTCTCTAAAACTAAGATTATAATGTTATTATTATTTAACATGTTATTAGTAATAAAACATAAAATTTTAACATAATATTATAATTCTTAATAACTTAGATAATAGCCTACGCTTAGTTTAGTTTTATATAATTACTAAAAAAATTATAGAAGCTAATAAAAAAGTCTCTTTATAAGAAGTTAGCATTTAATATAAAAATGTTAGTTATGTTGTTTTAATTTTTACTACTAAGACACTAAAAATAAGCTAAGGTACACTTACTAATAAAGTAAGCTACTACTTTAAAAAAGAAGAGGTAGTTTAAAAAAGTTTATATATAAACACTTAACATAATTTTTAAGTAGGCTAACTTTAGTATTATTTAAATTTCCTTCTTTTACGATATAAGCCCTACATGTACGTAGTTTAAAATAGTAGTAGAAGATATAAAAAAAGCGCTAGGAAGATTCTCTTAGTTTTAAGTAATAATGCTTTAAAGTTTTACTAATAATATGTTAAAAAAAAGATATTTTAGAAAATTACTTAGTTAATAAAAGTAGTCTGTAATAACTCTTTTTACTATAAATTATAACTTATAGCTTTTGCAAAGCCTACTGCTAACACTACTTTATAAAAGTTTACTAGCTAGTAAGAACTATTAGGTAAGAGCTTTTTTCTAGTAACATTTATCTAGTAGTTCTTAAGCAGATAAGCTATAATATAATAATAGCTACTAATAATTTTGCTAGCTTTATACACTTTTTAAAAGTAATAAAAATAGTAGAGCTAAATTTTTACCTTTAAGCTATTATTATGTATATGCTAAAAGTTAGCACTGTACTACTAAATAGCTAATAATCTACACTCTTATTAAAGCTAGCTAAGGTGCTTTATTTAGTATTTAAGCTACTCTACATCTAGCTTTTTTCCTACTACTAATATATTATTTTACTTAATAGTAAAGGCCTAGCTAGAGTTAAAGTAATAATTTTTAAAAAACTCTTTTAATTAGGCATTAAAAACACTAAGAGACAGAGACCCTTTATAAGATAAGAACTAGAAAAGCAAAGAGTGTAACTTCTTAAGTTAACAAGAACTAGCGTAATAAGCTACTAGAGATAAGGCTAAGCTTAAAGCCTAGGCCTAGTTAGATAAGTTGTGTTAGCCCCTCTAGATCTAATTTAACATCGCTATAATAAAGATAATAAAGATAATAAAGAAATATAGAATAGAGATGTTAATAAAGGTAAGAACTACTAGTAAAACAACACTGCTCTGTAATATAGTAGAATCTCTGCAGTTAGTACTACACTAACACATAAATAGTAGCACAAACACGCTTCTCTAGCTCTTACGCGCGTTAGAGACTGCAACCTTAAAAGAGTTTACTTTAATTATAATACTGCTTACTTTTAAGCCTTATTAATTAAATTATAACAGTTAAAAATATAGTTACATTTGTTTGCCTTACGTGATTGTAGGTGGAGCAAAAGTATTAATTGTACTACTTTCTATTAGAAACGCTAGCGCCTCAGACCACCTACTACTAAGCACTAAGCTAGAACCGTGAGCGCAACAACTAAAGAATACGTTCCTGCTTAACGTTTCTAGCGCCTTTAACAACGCCTCACACGCGCGACTACTTCACGACCTATAAATAAAAAAAAGTAGATAAGAAGACTGCGAAGCAGATTGCAAGCTTCCTAAGCAATAGAGACACTATTATAGCAGTTAATAGATTATACGCTATAGATACAAGGGTACTACAAGGTTTTCTGTTAAGGACCAACGTTCACTACAGGCGAGTTACTTACAGACCTAAGTTACTTACTTTTACTAAAACTACACTAAACTACTTTTTTTTACACTAATGCATTTCTAATAACACTACTTAGAGATGTTAAAGGAATAGTAAATATAGTTTATATTTTAAATTTTAAATTAAAACATAATACTTTTTAAGTAATATACTATAGCTGTGTATAAAGTCTTAAAATACTACAACAGTTTATAAATAATCTATAAAAGCAAAGGTTGCTTAGAGGAATAGTTAGCGCATTAAGGTTAGTTGTTTAGAGTAAAGAATAGTTGCAGCATAATGTTTAGCAAAGTAGTATTAGATAGGTAATAGACGTATAATAACAACATTTAACTGTATTATATAACTAATCAGAGCCTATAACTAAGCGTAGCTAATACTAATCTCTAACACACTAATGTAGCTAATGCTAATCTCTAACACACTAATGTAGCTAATGCTAATCTCTAACACACTAATATAGCTAAAAAGGTAGAATAAACATAACTAACTATAATATTAATATGTTTTACATTATATATGCTAGAGTAAACTGCATGTAAATTAATATAAAAGTGCACTTATATTAAGTATATAGTTTTTAAAAAAAAGAATATAAGAAATATATAAAGTAATAAAAAAATAGTGTTACTAAAGTTTATTTAAAAAATTATAACTAACTAGTGTATTTAAAAAAAAGATTTTACTTAACTTTTTATTTTATTAACTAAAATATATTAAGTAGAATAAGGTTTACTAATAAATTACTTTATTTTTAGTAATACTATAAAAATAAGAAAATTATTACTATTTATATACTTTGTTACTTATTACACTTTTTATAGATACTTAATATAAGTTGTTTTACTTTTTTAAAAAAAAGTATATAAGTGCTAAGCTAATAACTTTATATCTAATTAAATTACTTATTATAAAGTAAGTGTATAAGTAAATTAATACTTAAAAGTAAATAATAGCTAGCTAATTCCTAGCTTTAATTAAGTAACGTACTTCACAGGCAAGTTACTTACACACCTAAGTTGCTTACTTTTGCTAAGACCCTACTACACTACCCTTCTTACACTAATGCATTCTTAATAACACTACTTAGATGTGTTAAAAAAACATTAAATGCAGCTTATGCTTTAGACTTTTAAATAAAATATAACACTTTTTAAGCAACATGCTGCAGCTAT